TGCTTGATGTCTTTACCTATCATTTGGTTTATTTTTTTCATAAATTTAACCCTTTACCTGCCCACAAGGGGGGATTTAAAATGACAACTTTTTAACAAAAAATTAACTTTTTCAACTTATCTTTTGAAAGTGTTCCGGAAGGTCTGACACTTTTATATATATCTTAAATTAAAGCTAATGTAATATACTTTATCATGGAAAAAAAAAATTTCGGACTTTATTTTATCTTCAAGGTGAAAATGGCTACCAAATGCTATTATTGTGTGAAAATTCTCAATTTTATTTTTTACATTTTTAACATTATAATGCTATAACTTATTGAAAAGTGTATTGATCAATATAATTTTTTTATGGGAAATACTATTTTTTAATAATCCCTTTTTCATTCGACATACTTTATCTTAATCAGGATATTAATAAGGAACTAGCAGTTTATGAAGCTTTTGGAATAATCCACCAATTTTTTAAAATTAAACACTATCTAAAGATTTGCATCGAAGCGTTTTATTTTTATAGTGATTTTAATCACTGTCAGATATCATTATACTTGATCCAACTATGCCACGTCACCACTGTGACGCGACCCCCCTGTGCTGGGTTTTTTGCTTATTGTATCTTTCTTATGTACAGATTGTAAATTTTATTATTTTATAAATAAAAAAAAAAAAAATGATAAAGTATGTCGAATGAAAAAGGNTGATTAAGATAAAGTATGTCGAATGAAAAAGGGATTATTAAAAAATAGTATTTCTCATAGAAAAATTATGTTGATCCATACACTTTTCAATAAGTTATAGCAATGTAAAGTTAAATATATTATAAATAATAAAATCGAGAATTTTCACACGAAAATAGCATTCGGTAGCCATTTTCGCCGTAAAGACAAGTCGAGAGGTCAAATTTTTTTTTTTCAAATTAAAGTATATTACATTAGCTTTAATTTAAGATATATATAAAAGTGTCAGACCTTCCGGAACACTTTCAAAAGTTAAGTTGAAAAAGTTCTACTTTCTATATGCATTTTTATGTTTTGAATCCCCCCTGTATTTAGGGAAATGGTCCGATTTAAAAAAACAGTATGTCGAATGAAAGATCTATATAAATACTACTTCTCATAAAAAAATTGTAATGATTCATACATTTTTCAAAAAGTTATAGCATAATAAAGTTAAAAATGGAAAATACAAAATCGAAAATTTTCACACGAAAATAGCATTCGGTAGCCATTTTCGCCATGAAGACAAGTCCAGAGGTCAAATTTTTTTTTTTCAAATTAAAGTATATTACATTAGCTTTAATTTAAGATATATATAAAAGTGTCAGACCTTCCAGAACATTTTCAAAAGTTATGTTGAAAAAGTTAATATTTTGTGAAAAAGTAACCATTTTAAATCCCCCCCTGTGGGCAGAAAAAAGGTCAAATTTACCAAAAAAATATACCAAATGATAGGTAAAGACATCAAGCATCTATAAAAAAAAAAAAATTATATTCATATGTTCATTTTTGAAAAAGTTACGGCAGTTTTTATTAAAAAAAATTGAAAAAATTTCAAAAATTAGCAATTTATAAATTTGTAATTTTTTTGGAGGTTTCCCCCATTTACGGAGAACGAGGGAATTTTTTGNTGGAAGGCTTCAATTGTTTTAAACTGCGATGTTTTGGCACAACCCCATATTTGGGCTCCGTTAGACCAAATTGGTCTTAACATTGACTTATAAATGATTATTTTGTTATGTACAGGAAGTTTTGATTTTAATACAGGACGTAATAAGTGGAATCTAATGTTTAATAGCTTTCTTTTGGATTTGAGATGAGGACCCCAGGTTAATCTTTTATCAAGTGTAATACCAAGATATTTGACTTGAGTCGAAGAAGGGATAGGAACTCCTTGGAAGGAGACTTTATCTTAATCAGGATATTAATAAGGAACTAACAGATTATGTAGCTTTTGGAATAATCTACCAATTTTTTAAAATTAAACACTATCTAAAGATTTGATTTGAATCGAAGCATTTTTTTTTATAGGGATTTTAATCGATGTGAGACATCATTATACTTGCCCCAACTATGTCACATACACACTGTGCCGCGACCCCCCTGTGTTGGGTTTTTTTTTNCACACTGTGCCGCGACCCCCCTGTGTTGGTTTTTTTTTAATATTAAAACCTTAGATAATTACCTTTCATTTGATTTAATTTTTTTGAAAATCTAACACTTAAACTTCACAGGGGGGTATTTAAATAGTAACTTATATATAGCCACCGAAATAAAATAATAAATGTAATATTTGCAAAAAAAATCACCTTCTATCAGGATGTTTTTAGCTTCGATGCGAAGCTGAGAAGGTATTGGTTTTTTTTTGTATCTGTTATCACTTTTTCTCAGCTCTCACCGAACCAATTTCTTTCAATGATACGTCAAAAGATCACAAATCGTATCTAGTCAAAGACAATAACCCCAAAATTGAAAAAATTTCCCTCGTTCTCCGTAAATGGGGGAAACCTCCAAAAAAATTACAAATTTAAAAATCGCCAATTTTCGAAATTTTTTCAATTTTTTTTACTTAAAATTGCCATAACTTTTTTAAAAATGACCGAATCAATATAATATTTTATTTATATAGATGTATGATATCATTACCTATCATTTGGTATTTATTTTTCATAAATTTAACCCTTTACCTTCCCACAGAAAGGGATTTAAAATGACAACTTTTTTACAAAAAATTAACTTTTGAAAATGTTCCGGAAGGTCTGACACTTTTATTTATATCTTAAATTAAAGCTATTGTAATATATTTTATTATGGAAAAAAAAAATTTCGTACTTTATCTTGTCTTCATGGTAAAAATGGCTATAAAATGTGGCAATAATATTTTGCATTTTTTTAAGTCAGAAAAATTTTTTTAAATCATTTGATATGTAACTCATTTAGATTCAATACCTTCAATAAATATCAAGGATCCCATCACTATAGTCTCCCCTCGTGAGAAGAAATTTCTTATTCATGTTAATATTATTTTACTATGTGGTTTTTATTGTGGCTACGATATATTTTGCTAACCTTCAATTGACCTACTTTTTTCAATGATACGTCAAATGATTACAATTCGTATTTAGTTGAAGATATTACCCTTAAAAATCGAAAAAATATTCCTTATTCAAATAAAAAGTAGCTTAACCAGATTTTCCCATACAAACATTTAAAATCATTAATTTCTAATATTCTTAAAGTATTTATTGTCGAATTAGATTTGATATGATAAAAGTATTCAACTACAAAAGTAAATAATTTTACTTTGTAATTTATTAATTTTTTAACTCTATTTGTGTGAGCTACTACCAGTCTATAGTACTCCGAATTTTTTTGTAACATGTTGCTATATAAATCATAAATTTTAAAAAAAAGTGATTTTTAGTTTCACCCGAATTTAACGATGGTTTTATAATTATAATCAAAATTTATAATTCGCTCAATTGAGTAGATATTTTTAACAACTTCTTTTTCATTGGTTTTTTAGTTAAAGTAAATCATTAAAATTAATTAAGTTCTGAATATTTCTATTGTAGAATCTTTTTAAACACCAAAAGTTAATTAGAAATGATTACTATGATTTTTATTTAATTGTTCTATTACTATAAAAATGTAAAAAAAAATCGAACTTTTCTGTTTAATGTACTTTAAATAGTAATTATAAAATTTCCTGATTGCATATTAATCTTAACGATTTCTTTTTTTCTATTTAATAATGTCAATTTCAAACTTGCAAGTTGAGCTAAAAGTTATGGTAATAAATTAATTTTTTTTTTATTATAAACTTTCACTTTAAAGGGTGAAATAACGAAGGTTAAAAATTATTACTTTTAACATATTAAAAATCAATATCAATAATAATTTGAAAACAATTCAATATAACAATAATTGTTATATAAAATTATATATAATTTTATATTATATTTTCGAATCTAAGAATTACTAATCTGGATATAAGTAAGGAAATAGTTATTGTTGCTTTTATAATTATCGACCTATTTCTTAGAATTAAACATTATCTACAGATTTGCATCGAAGCGTTTCTTATGATAGTGATTTTATTCTCTCCACATTTTATACGTCTCCACTGTGCCGCGAACTCATTGTACTATGTTTTTTGTCTGTTATTATTTTCAGCTTTCTATACATGTTTATTCGTTTAGTTTTTAGATATGATAATATAATCAGTTTATATATATATATATCAATTTTTATGAGAATTTTGTGTAAATACAAATTTTATTAAATAAAATTGGTAGGGACAACTAGTAAAATCCCAATTTTGAAGGTAGCAAATTTTAGTTTTTAATTTTAATATTTTTAGACACTACTGAATATCATCTTACTACTAGTTAGATACATTAAAACAACATTCTGTATATTAAATTCAAGTTAATAAAATTTAGTTATTAGTTAATCCTGGCTAGCTATCTTCTATACGGAAACGGCGTCTCGAATCAAACAAAAAATACCGGTTTTTCGTGTAAAAATCACTGTTTTACGTACTGTTTTTTTTCTAACATCAGTGTTTACAGTTCTGGTAAAAATTGTAAACCGTGAAACGAAAGAACCAACCCTTAAAAAAAAACCCATAAAATAAAATTTAAATCTTAAATAAATAAATACATATATATTTTTAGATATTCTGTAAAATTTGGTGTCAATAAATGTATTAAAAAAAGTTTTCATGGATTTCCCTTTCCGAAACAAATTTGGTTCCTATAATCAAACTTTCTTTAAGCACAATCGCATCAATGCGTTTTACGGTTGTGATTTTGATTACTGACAAATTTTAATCTACTTATAATAAATCCCTTTTATTTAAGTTTTTTTTCCTTCCTAGTGGTTTTAAAAATTAATTTCTTACTTTTGGTAAAGACGCATATTAGTTGTAACACTTTTTTTTTTATCAATTCTACAGTGGCGAAATGTATGATTTAATTGTAAAATAATTCGGCTATTTTAGTTGTTATATAGATGCATTCAAAGTATAAATCAAAGTCATGATATAACTGGCTGTCAAATGGATGTCAAACTGAGGAGTCTCATATGCCTTGGTCTTAATGAACAAGCTTTACATTTATGGCTAGAATTGTTATGTTGTTCTGATCAAATTGTTAAAAAATGGTAGTAATTAGTAATGAGTTTATTGAACAATTTTTTCTTAATTTTTATTTGTTTTTAGGTATCACCCTTGGAGTTTTATGTATAGTCCTGGATGGGTACAAGTAAAATGCGAACTTAGAGTTTTGTCTCAATTTCCTTTCAATCTAAATCCAGATTGGGAACTACCTCCCAAAAAGGAAAATAATGTAACATTAAAAGCTGGTGTTAGAGACATGCTTGTGAAACACCATTTATTTAGTTGGGACCTTTAACTTATATAAAATTGTGATGATTATATTGACTTTAAATAAATTATTTAACTTAATATTAAAATACGGAATTTGTTATTGCTTCAATTTTATATTATGATTACTAAATTAATTCTAGTAGCGCTAATGAAACTTAAGAAAAAAAAAGTATTTTCTTTATGCTGCCCTAAGGCACTTTTTATTGAAACAATAATAAATCGTAATCTATTACGATCTATATCAATTAAATGTTATTCATAAATATACAAAGCATGCTAAGTAATATACTTATATTAGTGTCCCTTATTTTTAAAATTTTGGAATTTTAAAAGAAACATTAAAATATAATTTTGTTATAATTTGGGAATTATTTTGAATTTAACATTTTATATTATGTATAGTAATTTTTTAAATTTATATAATAATATTGAGCAATAAGTATACTTATGCGTTTAAGTAAATCAATTGTATCAATTTACAATTGAATATACAATTTAGATCGAAAATATTTAAATTGAGTAATAAAACTCATATATTTAGTAAAAATCGTAATATGATCGAACTATTTCAGCTATAGCAATAAAACGATCGGCCTAATAAAATTTTTACTTTTATTTTGTAAAATTTAATTTTAAAAAATTTTTGTATGAAACATTAGCTTGTATCACATATGGTTCGTCAGATATGATGAAATATTCGTAAATATGCCAATATCGACAATTTTACAAAATATTATGTATTTTGACATTTTTTTAGAAAACTAATGGATTTAGAAGAAATACTATTAGAACTTTATTTATACAAAAGAATTACATCTACAATTTAGTTTCTATAATTTTATTTTGTGAGAGTATTAATTGACGAGTTAATTGCTAAACACTAAAAAACTACCCCTTTTGGCCAATTTTTAACACAAAGTCGGCACGGGCTAAACTTATTTGATCAGATTGAGATTTTTTTATAGCCACTTTTTATATGTATATACACAAACTTTAGGGGGTGAACCCGACGAATTCCCAAAAATTAAAAAATAAATATAAATATAAAAAAAAACAAGAATGGGATTTACATTTCCAGTAAAACAGTCTCTAACTTAGTCTAATGATTTAAAAGGTTAATTAAAATATATATGCCATAAATGTGTATAAATTTAAACCAAGTCTTTTGGTTTAATGCGTTTTAAACGTCTTTGGAATTGTTCAATATCTGAATTACTGCTAGGATTTCATGGTTTTCCAACCCAACTACACTCTGTCCTATACCTTTCCTTTCTATCAAATGATAGTTTTCACAGTGGAGCTTGTCGCGGTCGCATCGCGACTCCAGCTTTACCACTGGATGGCGATCGCGGCGCTTCCCTTTTACGTCTGTCAGGTCGCGCCATATGGAGTGGCCGACATATTTTTTTTTTGCAGATTAAGAAGTAGTTAAGGTAAGTGCTAAATAATTACAGCAATTATTATTTTTAGCACCCTTAATATTAGAACTTATATGATTATACTTATATGATGTCATGCTGATACGTCGAGGATAATGCGAAGCGCAACGAGGAGCTGGAAGCAATAGTCGCCCAACAGCGCGAACATATTGCTCAGCTTGAGACAAAGTTGAACGACTTGATCAAGCAAGTCAACTTGTCTACTTGCGAAGTACAGGGGGTACTTTGCAGTACCAATAGGGGAACTCTGCCGCCACACCTCACGCTTAGGTGAGTTACAGCGGACAGACTCGAAAAGTCACAACTCCGATCGGAAGGGAGTGAGCAGATGGCCGTCCTGGAAAATTCCGACCGAGCAGTTCGAGAGGACCCCCCATCGGAGCTTCGGACTGCAAATCAGTTCTTCGGTGACTTACGAGATACTTCGGCGGAACAATACCGTAGAAATTACTTCTCCGATGAAAAATTTGTTTCGGCCCCTCTAAACGACCAGTACCCCGAGGTACAAAGACCGGGACCCCTCTACGCCGGTGAAAATTCTGTTTTCTCCGGTTGATTAGACTGGGTTACGGGAGAACGGCATCGGAACAAACAGTTCTCCGGTGAAAGTTTTTACTTTTCCGGTGTAAACAAAAGTCCTGCCGTTGAAAGTAACCGGACGGCCGAGGACCATCACCAGAACATACAGTTCTTCTAAAATTCGAGTTTCTTCGGTCAGAAACACCACACTTTTGTTTCAAACCAAGGAATGACCGGTATTAACGGAGTAGAACGATCCGAAAGTCGTTCCCGTCCGGACAATAGGACCAGGGAGCAACGACACGTTACTTTTAACGAAACATCGTTACTGTCCCACAACAGTCTAACGTTGGCGCGTGATTCTCTGTCGGAGTTTTCCGACAACAACAATTTTTGAGGAGGTTCAATAGCATTGCTATTCATACCCAAGTACGCAATGATCTCCACAGTGCTCACCAAGGCGAACGACAATCCCTAGGGGAGTTTGTAATGTGGAAGAGCCAGCTAGCCCGTCGTCTCGACTCAAGGCTAACAGAGTACGAGTTGGTCGACCTAATCATAGGGCTTATGTGCAGTGACTACAGGGTCCACGCAAGAGTGAGACGCCCGAAGTCAATGGAAAATCTGCTAGAGCTGGCTAGCGACTTGGACGTAGAGGACCTTTCTCCGGAACAGCGGCCCAGAGAAAAGAAGTATTCCGCGGAAGGGAATAGCTTCAAATGGGCAAATAAAAAACCGCCACCGGAGAAAGAGGTTATTAGACCGGAAAAAAGCCCGTCCGGAGCGGCATGTTGTAAAAACTGCAACCGGATTGGGCACTGGTGGGCGAAATGCCCGGAAAGAAATACGGCGAGTACGGGAAACGGGAAGAGTTCCGGACGGTTCACGGGAAACCGACCGGACAAAAAGAACTAGCCCGCCCAAAGTACCGTAAACGCAACCACAGTACCGAAGCTCCCGACCAGAAGCCCAAAAAGGTACCGGGGAAGCGTAAAAATATGCAGCTCGCCGCTATCGAATCCGGAGAAACGGAGTACACACGGAAGAAACGTACGGTAAAAAGAGAAGTTTTGGAAATACAGGAGAGTAGTACAAAACGTCCTGACCAAGGAACACAAGCAGCTCTCTCCGAGAACAGTTTGCCGAACAAATCTCTGGAAGACCTGGAACAAGACCAGTTAACACATGAGTTGTTAACAGTTTCATAGTCTTTCCCGTTAAAACTTCCAAAGAAGGTGACTCTTATCACTGGTATCGCGCGGAACCGAAGGAAATCTGATACGGACTCACTTTATGACCTCAGGGTCCGAGTCGCAGATATATTTACCGGAGAAAACTTTCCTAGCAAACAGGGTTATTGTTCAGCGTGTCCGACCAGGACCCAAAATACAATAAGATACCCGAGAAAAAGCTGGTGAAAAAAATCTCACAAGGTAATAATACCTCTTCTAACCCAAACAAGAACGGTAAAAGAGCTACAACTACCGGAGCACCGAAGAAGTACGATGTGCCACTACCGGCCATTGAACTTGAATTTCCGACTAAAGTTGTGGTGGCTCTACTAGATTCACAACCAACTGGATCTTATGTTTTACCGTGGGTAGCACATGAATTTGGTAAACCAATAAAAGGGGAGCCGAGTATGGTCACATTGGCTGACAGCCGAACTTTGCAAGTTCATGAGTATGCGGAGTTCACAGCACAGGTGTCTGAAATTAAAATTCAATTCAGAGCCGCGGTACTCAACCATCTTATCGGTGACGTGTTACTGGGCCATGACTTCTTGGTGTAACAAGAAGTAGCATGGAACTACCAAGCATGTACAATCCACATGGGTACAGAAAGAAGAGCGACGGTATGCTGGAAAAACCGACAATCAAACGGGAAACCGAACCGGAGATGGTTATCCCGGAAGGGAAGTTTCCGGAAGATGTCCGGTTAATATTACTCAAGTACCCGAAGGTTTTCTCCGGAGAAGTCGGGAGGACCCGAGTCACTGAACATGACATACGGTTAAAAGAGAAAACTCCGGCTACTTTAAACGCATATCCTTATAATCGTGAAAAACAGGATACCATCACACGTATGGTGCGAGAAATGGAGGAGCAAGGTTTTGTAGAACCTAGTACCTCGCCATGGGCAGCTCCCGTAGTTCTTGCCAAGAAAAAAGATGGATTCCAGCGATTATGCGTGGATTATCGGAGACTGAATCTCCAAACAGAATCCGACGCACACCCAATGCCTGACTTACACGAAATGGTCCGTGGAATGGGTGGTGCTAACGTCTTCAGTACCATCGACCGTAAATCTGGCTATTGGCAGGTCAGTTTGACTCAGGAGTCAAGACCACTCACCGCATTCCGCACTCAAATGAGCCTCTACCAATTTAAAGTAATGCCCTTCGGCCTTAAAAACGCCCCGGCTACTTTTCAACGGTTGGTAAACGAGGTTATGCGTGGATATGTCGGTAAATTTGTATTTGTGTACCTAGACGATATCGTTGTGTACTCGGTGAATATGAAGAAACACCTCAACCACAAACAACGAGTCTTGGAACGGCTACAAACACATGGGTTGACATGTCAACCGAAAAAATGCAGTTTCGGTGTAAACCGCATAAATTTCCTCGGACACATAGTTGATTCGACGGGAATTGACCGGGAACCAGAGAAACTAACAGCAATCACCGAATTCCCCGTACCAAAGAAAGTCAAAGATGTACAGAAGTTCCTCGGAGTATGCGGTTGGTACAGACAGTTCGTGTCGAAATACACCGAACTTACCGCTCCGCTGATTAATCTTTTGGCTCATGGAATTAAGTGACGATGGGCGGTACAAGAGCAAGACGCTTTCCAAAAGCTTAAAGCAGCACTTGTCTCTGCGCCCCGACTCTGTCCCCCATTTCAAGGACAACCGTTTTATGTTCAAACGGACGCAAGTGAAATAGGAGTCGGTATCGTACTATTTCAGCAGGAAGAAACCGGCCAGAGAAGGATTATCTCATATGCCAGCCGAAAACTATCTCCCGCTCAGACACGGTATTCAGTCGTAGAACGTGAGTGTCTAGCCATTGAATGGGCCGTTGATCGCTTCTGACCATACCTAGACGGAAAATTTACTTTGCTCACGGACAGCATAGCGCTTAAGTGGT